TTTTTTTTTTTTTTTTTTTTTTTTTTTTTTTTTTTTTTTTTTTTTTTTTTTACTTTATTTAAAAGTAACTTCTATTGAGATAAAATAAGCGTCACTTATATGGTATTATGTTATCTGGAATTAACTCTTTATTTAATACCAATTTTTTTATATATATTTTAGTACAAGGCTAAATTAGGATTTACTACTAAATAATTGTAATATAATTGCAATAATTGTAATACTGGCATTTTGGCCTGATGCACTATATTGATGGCATATCCCTTATATTCCTAGTTTAAATTTGTCTTTGTTGTAATAATCGAATGTAATAATCGTATTAATTGTTTTCACCTGTTCACTATTGCATAGTACAAAATTACTCTCTCCCACTTTTGAATTGTATTGTAATCTTAAAACATCAACACATCTATCTGCATGCGCAACACTCATCTTTTCACAGTTAATAACCAGTAGCCTAATGATAAAAATTCATCTGTATAATGCATTATTTTGTCAATGATGGTGCAAAAAATGTGTGACTGATTTGTGTTAAAAGTAAGAATTCCTCTCTTTTACCATGAAATCTCAACTTTTAATGAGATGGAAAGAAACTGATCTAAGGTTAAACCAAAGGACTACCTAAATTAATTAAAAATAATATTAATTATTTTTATTTATCACCAAACATTTATGCCCGTCTTGAACAGGAACCTCTTCGAATTGCCAATTTGAAATTCAATTTGTCATTTTGTATGCTTGAAAATTACGTACAAAAAGTTATTTATAATTTTTGTTATGATAGCCTCTTGCACGAAACAAAAATGGGTCTCGTTCAAGACAAAGCAAATTGCCTCCAAGGTTTGCTAAGCAGAGAGAAAATATTAAGTCTACAAGTGTGACAACAGCTTGGGATGTAAATATGGATTTGTCTACTAAGCCATCAACTTTATCAATTAAAGGTTAGTATTTTATGCTTTTCTCATTTCAATATTTCTAACATTAATCTTTAAATAGCAGATTGGCATAGCTCTTAATTTATTGATTTGTAATTTTTCTTTGAAATTGTTATTTTGTGGATAAGTATAATTTTATATGTTTAATTAATACTTTCGCATTATAAACATGTGAGGAACGAAAACTACATAAGTAAATTAATTTCTAGAAAAAATGATTTTAGGCACAATGAAAGTGGTGAATCAACCACAAAGTAACTGCATGCCTCAAGTCCTCAGTTTGGCATCTGTGTTTTATATAGTTTAACATACCTTATTTCTGTTCTTAATAGATTCCTCGCCAGCCCCACCGGCAATGAATGCTTGGGAAAAGCCTATTAATCATGTGTTGTGTACTCAGCCTTCTGTCATTACTTCAAATCCACCCTCCTCTATAAATACTACAACTACTGTTAGTTCTTGCACATCTTCTGGGTCATCAGAAATTCAAAATCTTGCTGCAACATCAAAATCTAATAGTTTCGATCGCAGTGATCAGCACGACAGTGGCATTGATGTGAGTGATCAACATGCCTCGGCCGCATCTTCACAGCGATCATCGCCTAGTAATGATTGCAAAATAGTTGCTGCTGCTTCTACTAATTCTGGGAAAAAAGATTCTAACGAAGTCAATGAATTGGTAAGTCTTAGAAATCAATTCTTTATATTGATAATACAATCTTTAAAAAAAAAACTGAGAATTTATCGTAATTTATCAACTGTTTAATCCCTTCATTTAATTTAATTTGGGTGCCCTAACCCTTAAAGTATCCAAGTATTCTCCTCATTTTTCCTCTTTTTTTATTTTTTATTTTTTTTTAAGCTGAGCAACGTAAATGTATAAACACTGACGTGCAATAATGTGTAGTAGGCTCAATATAGGCAATCTAAAATCCAGTTAGAATTTTTATTTATTTTTGCAATTTTTAGAACAGGTATTATTCAAGTTTGATAATCCTGCTGCACTGTTTGATTCATCAATTTACTATAAAAAGTAATAAACTTTCCATGAGTGGCCAATCAGTGGCAAAATTATTTTTATTTTGAATGAAACAAATTTTTTTTAAATTCTCAAAACAGTTTTTTTTTTTTCCCTATAGAAGATTTACTTAGCTCGTATGGGATCGGCTGTCCTAGGGGATTCACTCTCTTTATTGATTTGTTCAGCTTCATCTTATTAAAATTCTACAATTTATCTTGTTATCTTTAAATATGTTATGTTCTAACATTATATGATTAAACTTATACAGTAATTAGTTTTACTGAACTTAAATTTTATCTGACTTCTCCTGCTGTAGATTGAATTAATTTCCTACTATTAATGAAAGAAATGTCTTTTAAATAGGTTACAGAAATTGATACTTGCAAACCAATGTGTACTGTAGTGTTTGAGAATAAGAATTTTAAAGCTGAAAATGCTGTACTAGATAAATTTGGTGGACAGGCTAAAAACCAACCAACTAAGGTATACTGTGTTTTGTATTATTTAGTTGTTTTATATTCATACCTTAGTATTATAATGTCTGCATTATAAATAATTCCTATTAATAAATAAGGATTTTTTAATAGGAAATTTCTAATCCTTCCACTGAAAACCTAGCCCCAGTGGGAAGCTCTTTGACAAAATCAAAAGAAGCTTCACCAGAATCAGATGAAAAGCCTCATAGTATACCACCTGTAACATTCCCAGCAAAGGAATCTTTTCCAAAGGTACTTTTTTTCAAATTGTTCTAGTTTAAGATTAATATTAACAAGAATTAATAGCAAAAGTGTGTCGGCAAAGAGCTTCACTTGATTTTCAGATGAATCTCTTGTTAAGAATGGGGATTACATTATTTTCTTCTTAATATTTTATTTTAAAAGTGAAGTTTTAAGAGTTTTCATGGTATAATGCCGAGTGATTCTTGGGAAATTAAGTTATTGATAAAATCTCTGTCTTTATTTATTTTCAGTTTCAGAAAATCTATTTCATTTCTATTTTAATAGCTGTTTTTCCAAAATTTTAAATTTGTGTTTCAGAACTTTTTTCTTCCTAGCTTTGCTAGTGTAGTTATCAGAGTAATAGTGATTTATATTAATACATGTGTTTTTTAATATTCATATTATTTTTTAGAGTGAAGGAACTGATATGAAACTTGATTTCACTTTTGAGTCTGGCTTAGAACAATTGACTGATGAAAAGAGTATTAGAAATTCTAGTGGTAATGCGCATTTGCCCAATAAGCCTATGAATATTGGTCGCTCTATGGAAGTATCTAGCAGTGGAGCATCAGGAATACAGTCGCCAATTTCACCTTCAACAGATGATTTGAATTTAAAGATACAATCTGTCAAGAAGGTAATTTTTACTTCTTAGTTATGTAAAAATAATCTTGTCTGTAATTTAATTTCAGAATTTAAATTTTTATAGCATTATTTTATGATTTAAAAGTATATAAACTTATTACTTGATTTTGTTGTAAAACAAATATTGGTAATAATATGAATTACTTATTTAAATGGGGTATAAATAAATATATCATCCTGTACCATTTTATTTCTAGTGTTACTTTTTTGAAAGAAAAAAATTATTTTCATATTAAATGCAATTTGAGTAAATTTTTTATGTCACCTGCTTTTGTTTTGCACAATATGAAGTTTCGAGTAACCTTAGTTATTTTCAACCAATTTTGTAAGAATTAAGTGGCTGCGAAAGTGTTAAGAGTCAGTAATTTGCTTGCAGAAAGTTTTGGGGATTTTAGGTTCATTTCAATTCTGCCTCTCTGTTACGTTTGATTGAACAGAGAGAAAAACAATCCTCCACTTTTTCATTTTCTTACCTTCAAGGATGACTCAGTCATTCTATTTCAAAAAGGACAGGGAAAGCAAGCTAAGTTTTTCCTAATTTTCTGAAAACCTTATAAAAGGTTTTATTCTGTACTGCTTACTATACTCTTACTTACTTGATTAAAAAGTGGTCTTACATTTGAACCATTTTCATATTCCAATTAAAAAATAATTATTTCTGCTTCACATTTTTTATTACCATTCCATCTTCTGTTCGCTGATGAGCATGTGTAATGAATTTCCTCTCTTGAATTAAAGACCCCACACCGTTCACTCTACTCAACTTCAAGGGTGATTGGAATTTTTGCCTCAGTCCTTCTAATTCGAAGTAGGAGACCAAACAAATTTTCCCCCAATTTTTTCAGATACTGGATTAAAGATTCAGTGTATTAATATTTAAGGACAAATATAAAAGATGTTAAATTGGAGTGTCTGGAATGTTAGAAAAATTAACATGCTTCAGAATTTAAGACTTTTCATCACTGTAGTTTTTGAAAGTTCTACTGCTTAATCCATTAGCTTGGATGAAATAAAGAGATCTTATCTCTCTGTTTAGGTGTGGGAAAATGATCCACCTCTACCTACAGTAATGGAACATCCACAAACCACAGCTGAGGAAAGTACTCCTACATCTTACAGCTCCTTTTCAAATAATGCAGAATCCTCAACCAACGTATACAGCACTTCAGTGGACTCCAATTCTCAAACCAGGAAAGATCAAGAAGTCAACGAAATTTCCTTCAGGTTTGTGCTATGTTTTTATTATATAAGATTTAATTGGTGTGATTAATTTTTTTAACCAAATTTCAGATAAAAATTTCATTAAAGTTAGTAATGTATTGCTGTATCCTATTATTTCCTCTTACTTATATGGATGTTTGTGCATGAATGCCATAAATTCAATTTATGCATGTATGTATAAAATTACTGCAAAAAAAAAAAATAAATAGAGTAAAGTTTATTTTGAACATTTGCTTTGTAGTATTGCATATTAGGATCGGAACAAATTGGAGAATATTCAGTAAAATTTTTCTTACTTACATGTATTAAATATTAGGCTATATTTTCTTAGAATATGTGTGATATGTTTCTGTCAATAAATTATATGAAATAAAAGAAGCACCATTATATCAATGTCTTTGATTCAGTCTCTTATACTTTTCCCCGTTGATGACTTATTTCTCCATTAACTGAAATCTTTTTTCTGTAGGGAAAATTCCCCATTGCAACAAGTGTGTAACAATTCATCTTTGACAAAAGCTATGGATCAGTGTATTCCATCAGCAAAATCTCATTTGCAAATGGCTGCCCAGCATAATGCAATAGCTGCAACTCATTGCCCTGCTCCACTCAGTCCTCCTCTAATGAGTGGTGGGTTGGAGACTATTGCTGGTATAAGAACAATAACTGGTCTGGCGAGTTCTGTGCAAGTTGCTGGTATTCCTGCAATTCCAAGCCCACCTACTGTTGTATTCAATTCTTCTCAGCAGGTAAGCAGTAATTTTCAAAATGAATATTCTTTGCATGCTAAAGCAGAGCCTTTAAACATGAACCTGTTTTAGAGTGTTCATTTCTCCACAGGACCCAGTGCATGTATTTACCCTTTAGATGTTCTTGAAGTTCGGATATAATTTTGGTCCTAAAAAAATTTTATAATTTCCTTACACACACGTATGTAAGTTAACTGTCAAATCAAACTCTCTTCTGTACTTCAGTAAGAACACAACCATTAGTTGATTTCGTTCATTCTCCATTTACGATTCTATTTCCTTATTTTGTAATCTGGTAAACTTGTTATCAAAATGTTTAAAATCATTTTTGAAAAATGCCTGTCATCATCATTGTTGGGCAGACAGCCCAATGTGAGCCAATGCTATCTTCTGAAGATTTATTCGAAAATCAGACTCCATTGAATAAGCCCATCTCAACTGCGGCCTTCTGCACTTTCTAACTTTTTTTTTTTCAGAATAGATTTTGATAGACTTTTCTTTTACTGTCACTTTTTTCCTGTAAGGTTATATAGATAGCTAGTGACATATTTAACATAAAAGTTAAGAACAAAGAATCTTTTTACATTTTTTTTTCAATTCATATTAATTTTTTTAGCATTGAATTTTTTGTTTAAAAAATTAAACTGTTTTTATTTCTTCACTTTTTCAAAATGTTGCTATTTAAATATTTGGTATTCGGCTGACTTTTTTGGCCAAATATTTAGTTATTCGGCCACATCACTATTCGTTATGTCCCTCATATATATATATTAGATCCTCATAATGCTGGGAAAAGTAACTACACTGTTAATAAAATTTTGTCAAGCTCTTTTCGAAATGGGGAGAAACTAATCGAAACCTGATGTGATTATAAAAAGTTGGTGAGATCCTGGCAATTCCTATATTTTATTATATTTTCAAACAAAGTATGTTTATAAATGGCTTATGGGGTTATTGCAGAAAGGCTTATACAATTAATTGATAAGTTTGTTACTAATTTTTCCTTGTTCATGGCTGCCACTCTTCAGTTCTCAAGATTGAAATTAATCTTGAGAAAAAGTCAGTGGTCTAAACATAGTCCTACAATTAATATCTATTTCCAATAATTTTCAACAAATGTTTTTGTTTCATTAAAAATGTAGCTGATATTGTACAGTAGAGATATGACTGGCTCCAAGAAAAAGTTAGTGATATATTTGTTCAGTAATTATTGTAAAAATATTTACTAAGTTAACTGTTATATTCATTTTGTTTGCTGTAAATATAGAGTAATAATATGAAGAAAAATAAATATTTGGGTCATTTTCATGGAAAGGCAATCAGTGAGCTATTAATCTCTGAAAATTCTGCTACTCTAATTAATTACTCAAAAAAGTCCAGTACTGGCATTTTTTAGAGTATAATCCTTGAGTATTTTTCATTAAAATATAGCAAGATAAACAGCAAAATGCTTCTTCCCTATATTTTGGCTTTGTTACGGTGTGCCATTACTACTGCTTGTCAATGATCAAAACTTTAATGATGAGTGCTTAAATAAAATAATCAAATTTTATTACAACTTATGAGATATTGTCTACGTTATTGATTTATGTTTGTACTTTTTTTCTTTTTCATTGTTACATGGTTTGTGAAACTATTCAATGATTAAGTATTGTAAATTGAACTTATATAAAGTATTATGGATGATTAAACTAAATTATGAAGTATTATCGTGATGATTCGATCCTTCTAAATAGATAAATACTTTTAGTTATTTTTGAAAAGCATACTCTTTTGCTTATTTTTTTTTAATTTTAACTTCTTTATATGTATAGCTTGCCCAAACTGGTATGTATCAGCCTCTTCAAATGGATAACAGACAAACGCCTGCTGCAGTGGCCGCAGCTGCTGCTATGGTGCAGTACTCACAATCAACTCATGGATATCCTCCTTTGGGCACTTATGGTATTTCTCACCAGCCTCCTAATCCCCAACTGTCAAATGCTTATGGGCAGCAATCTCTCTTTGTTCAACCTCCTGCTACTCATCAAGGTCAAGACATGTATTCATCTAATCAATATAGAGTACAACCACCTTATCCTCAAAGTCAACATGTTTCTTCGAATCAAGTATGTTCATTTCTTTTTCAATATTTTTATTATCTCATTGGTCCGGAAGCTACTAATCACTATAAATATTTTAAAACAATTCTTGCTGTCTTAAAAAAAAACTTGAAAGGGTAAATTATTCAATGGGTTATTTTTATCATAAAAAATTTAATTAGCTTAAAAATGCAATATATATATATATATCTGTAAAAGTTTTGAAAAAATAATATATTTAAGTTAACGTTAAATGTCCATGCATTGAACAAAAGCAATTTCATTAGCTCAGATCATAAGTATTTCTTGTATCTAAAATCTGGTAATTTCTGCAAGGAATTTTCCTTTTTAAGAAAAATTAGCTTTATTGAAGAAAATTGCAATTTTTCTTATCTTCAACATCCCCTTAAATAAATTAAAAAAAGAGAGAGAACACCCCACCCCATTAGGATTGGTGAAATACAATCTGTCTCTGTTTGGATGGTTTTCGTTTGTTGCGCTATTGACCTTTGTTGGCAGAATTTATTGCTATTAGAGATATATCTATTCATAGATTTGGTTTTTGCTTGATGTGTAATATTTTAAATTAATTTTGAAATTTGTTTATTGTAGGATTGCACAGCAGGTTGACTCTGATCTTTTTCAGTTTTTAGTATCTGAAACTACGCCATAATCCTCTAATATCACTAATTTAATATGAAAGATCGATTTTCTTATTTACTTTATTTAATATGAAAGATCGATTTTCTTATTTACTTTATTTAAAAGTTAGGCATTGTAAATAATATTCATGTTTAAAACTCTTGCATCACGATTTATATTCTCGTTGTTTATAATATCAAACATCGGTTTTCGTATCTTTACATAATTTAAAAGTTACACATTGCGATTCGAGTTTACACTATTTAAAAATCAGATCCTGATTTAATTATACACAATTTTAAAATCCAATACTGTGATTATTGTAGGATCTAAGCATTTCTTAAATTAGTTACTACTATAAAAGTGTGAATTTCTTCAATGTTAAGTAATAGAATTATAAATTTTAGTTCAATACGTGATATTAAACATGCATATAAATTGATATCTTGATATAGAGTTTTTGCAGTTAAAATTTCCTGGGTTTTTCATTTTGTGTCACTATCACTCCTTATAGCTATATACAATACATGATATATGAATTCAATAAGATTCACATATAATCAAAAATTAGTCCTTTTGAATTTTTTTTAAAAAATTATTTTTAAGAATGGTCCAAATATCTCTAGAATTGAAATCTATATTATTATAAAAGTATGTCTTTTTATTTCTTTTAATATTAAGTCCTATAATTATGATTTTTCTTTTATACTTAGTATAAGCTTTAAATTTCTGAAAATTAAAAGTAGAATTTGTAATCTTTTTAAAGCAGGAATTGACCAAAATTAATTTATGTCTCTCTACATACACTATTTTTACTGTCTCCTAATCTCTTCTTACTAATTTCCTCTTCCTAAAGACAGTTTGCTATTTTTATTTGATTATTTTTAATGTTTGTTTTTAGAGACATTTTTAAGATAACTAATTTTTATACCATAGTTAAAAAAGAACTTAAAAGACATGGTTAAAACTATTATAACGATTTTCTGAATTCAAAACATACAAGGTCCAGATGTTTTATTTTGCTAAAGAATGCTGCAGCTTAATAAACAGCAATATTTCTTCACTGTAATTCCACTAATTATTTTTATGCACTATCTTACATTTAGGAATTTTCTATTAATAAACTAAAATTCCTCTTGTTAGGTTCTTAGTGCACAGCAGAATTTAGCAAGCTCTCACTTGTTAGGTTCGCAGTTAGTTCAGACGAGACCAACACCTGGTCCATCTCCTGCTGCTACTCATCTTCAGAGTCTTCATGGCTTGCAAGCTGTGCAACCAACTCAGACTTCATATTTTTCTGCTTCTGCCCAACCTCAAACTGCAAACTACTACCATCAACCTCCTACCACCCCTGGTTCACCCATGCAACAGCAACCCCAATATCCATCCCATCAAAGTTATGGATCTCAATCGGCACTGAATGTTCTTCCCCAGACAGCTGCTGTCAATCCCAGTTTTCGGAACTTTGGGAGTCATCAGTACAAAGCTCCCAACAATGTGATTAACAATATTGTGCCTGATGCAGCATCTTTGCGGTCAGCAACCAGATCTCCAACTGTTGATGTCTCCTCAAATCGTAATTTATTTAATGTTAGCACTGCAGTTTCTACATCTCTTAATTCTACTACTCCTGTGGCTGCAGTACCTCCCATGTCAAACTCCGGAGTTGTTGGCAAAATAAATCAAGCGCAAGGAAGTGCTCTTCCTGCAAATCGTATCAGTGCATCTTCCGTTAAAACATCCCAATACTCCATCCCTCAATCACAGCAACATTACTATTCCTTTGGACAACAGAAATTCAACCATGTTCAGCCGAATTCAGTTCGACCTCCTGTGTTATTCCCGAATGTTGTACGGAATCCAGCTCATCAGCAGCTTCCTGCAGTTGCTGCAGCTGGTGCTGCAACAGTTCACAATGTGCACTATCCATCTCCCATTCAAAGACCTGGGCCTGCTGCAGCTGCTGTGACACAGAATGCTCCTCAGCCGCAACCCAAGATTGGAATTAGACCCCAAGCCAATGTTTTGGTATGTGGGCTGTTATTGTTATAATAGATAAAATTTGGAAACTATCTATAAGGAGTTTGTTATAATTACTTTGTTTTGTTCAAATAAAAAGCTGAAATTTTGAAACTGTTGATTTATTTAATGTTGTATTAAAGATGTGCATTTAAATGTAAAATTAAAGTAAAACTATATCAAGAAGGGTTTGTAGAAAAAAAAAGGTGACTCAGTGTTACCCTTATAAGAATGCTATTAACTACTTTCTTGTTAAAAAAAGCAAAATGTTTCAGTTGCTTATTACTCTTTATTTTGAAATTTAAAAGCCAGCTAATCTGGTAATTTATTGATGTAATTGAATATTGAGCTATCTATTTTCACTGCAAATTCTTCACACACAGTCTTATCTTTTTAGCCACTGTTAAAAAATTCTTGTAATTCTCACTTATTCAGAAAGTTTTAAAAACCCTCTTAAATTAAATTTTAAAATTCCATTTTGTTATCTGTGAGCATTATAAGTAGAGCTATGTTTAAATAATTTACTTATTGATTATTACATAATTGGAGTAATTTCATTTTTTTAGTGACGTTAATTTAACTTGAATTGTTATTAATCTCAGTTAATTTAAAAAAAAATATTTTTAAAAAAGCTTATAAATTTTTTTTAACTTGATTTTTTTTTCCTACTCTGCAATGCTGCAACTGCATCATTGTTTAAAAATAAGATTTAATTATGTTAATTTTACAGGTACCTGGTGGAAAACTTTCATCAGCACAACAAGCTAAGCTAAGAGCAGAAGCTGTCCAACAGACACACATGTTCTTTGCTCAGTCTAAAACAGGAAAACATGAAGACACTGTCTCCCACATGCTTTCTCAAGAGAAGAGCAGCATCCCTGCTGGGACAGTGCAGAAAATACCTGCTACAAATCAAGGTCTTGAAGAAGAGAAAGAGAAGCAGTGCTTGTCGTCCACGAGTGATAAACCAGTTTCTGGTGAAAATAAGGACAATAATGAAGGTGGAGAAGCAACTGCTACCGAAGAATGAACTAGTGTTTCAAAATTCAATGGTGTAAGGTTGTTAGCCATAATTTGATACTTAATAATGGCCTTATATAAGATGTTGAGCTCGCTAAATGCATTTGTAGCTGCTGCATCTTACATACAAAATTTTTCTGTGTAATTCACATTAAAATATTTTGTCATCTTGCATGTATAATGTCTGCCATCTTTACTTAACATGCTTGAAAAAGGTACACTTTCTCTTCTAAATTTACTAAAGGGACTACTCACATCATCAATGGCAGATCTAGAAATTTCCTAATTTGCCAACCAAGTGTTAGCAATTTTTTCCAAGTTGATAGGATAGTATCTTTGTTGGACTGTTTTTAAATTTTCTTTTTCTTGAAACGGTACATTTAGTTTCTCTGATCGTGAGTTAAACAAATGTTTTTATGCTGAAGGGAAGGCGGTTAGTTTTTATTAAAAGTGTAATAAATAGGACAAAAAAAGGCCTGTCAAGATTTAATAAAATGGAGTGGGGTTAAAGTTCAGATTAATTATATATGTATATCTAAAGATTGTATTGTGGATAATGCAGCAATGGCCGGGCTCTTTGCTTAATATACTTACTAAATAAACCCTTGCTTTTTAGCACAAGTGATGCATGGAGGTGAGTTGTCAGACATAGGTACCAATGGGGAAATTCCAAAACTGGACCAAAATGGCGAACAAGAATACAACCTTCAACTGGCAGATCGTACAACAAAATAAAAAATCTTTCCCTAATCTTTCCTCATGTGTGACTGTTGTAATTAAACTTCTGCGTGTAATAGTTTGGTGCAGACTTGAAGGGCACTGTTGTGCCAGGAACTCTTTCGCTTGGCACTGATCTTTGTAAAGTATGGGGAGATGTATAACCTTTTGCGTTACTTTTTTTATTTAATTCATGTGTGTTTTGCAGGAAGTGAAATTAAATGTAATTGTTTGCCCATGTACAGAAAAAAATAAATAAAGGGTGTATTCAATTGAAGAAATGGTCACTTAAAACTATAAAAGACTGCTAACTGGGCATCTTTTGGGCACTCCTCAGGTAGAAGTGCCAGTCTTTTCTTTTGATTTAGCCTTGTTTCGGGTTTTGCTTTGAAAAAAAACTATCACTTCCTGTATCTTTTCAACTGAGAAGTGGAGCACAGCCATTTTTATGACAGTGCTTTACTGCAGTTGTAATGTTTAGAATCATAAACTGTATGAAACCAGCTTTATCAATTTCCATTCATGTATACATACTACATTGTAAGACACTGCCGGCCAAGTAAATTTGAGGGGTTTAGTTAGTCATTTTTATTTTTAATCATAACACAGTTTGCATGCTTTTAATGTTGACTGTAAAATGTAAATTGCACCGTATGCCTGTGCTCAATCATAGGTGGACGGTCAGATAAGTTTTTTGAAATAAAGATCAAACATTTTGTTTTTTCCCCATCTGAGACTGTATGTAGTCGACTTTTGCTGCAATAAAGCACTGTAAAGTATGTAAAATTTGTGTGTTTCTGTGTCTTTACTTGTATTCAGGGGGGTGCCACTCCTCTGTCTACTTAATTTCATTCAATAATTATACATAACAGTGATAGTCTTAAAAATATAAGACGATTATCACAATGAATCATTATGATTTTTAATACACTTAATTATTAGTTTAATCATTATTTCACTCTGATAGCATTTACTAATCTTGGATAACAATGAATACTTGTAACAATCTTATGTGACAAAGATTCTAATTTTTTATTATATCATTTTAATTCAATACTAAATAACTGAACATTCATCAAATCAACTTAAGTCACCTTAAATCCAAATTATTAATCTGGAAAATTCTGCCTGCTCATCCACATTTAATCCTATAGGGAAAGTTTGCAGTATTTTGTAAAATTTGTCTTTTAAAACTGAATGAAATGAAACATGGTGAAATTTAAAAATAATAGTTACGAATTACATACATTTCTGTAACAAGAGGCTTCAATGATCATTTTTTATAATGTAAAGGCAACAGCAAAGGACTATGTCCCTTTTTTTCGCTATCGAATTTTACATATTTCATAATTTTTATTCAAAAATTAAAATTGATAACCTCAATCTAAGCTTTCTTTTATTTATGAGCAACCTAATCTCTTGTTTCTCTAAATTTTCTTTTTACTTATTTGGGACATGCACCCTCTTTAATTTAGAATTTTTAAACTCTTACCTTTTTTTTTAACCCTAAATAACTAAACTTAAATAAGCGTTAATCTGTAACTAATCCTCCGACTAATAGACCACGGATGAAAACGAGCATTGCGCTCTACGAATAGCCTTGTTGCATGGGTCCTTTTCACTCCAACGGACAAACCAATTTTAAGAAAGAATCGGTGAACTAAATTCTATCAATATCTTTCTCCCAATTGTTTTTTTATTTTCTTGAAGTGACAAATATTTCCTGATATTTTTTTTTTTTAATGAAAACGTTATTTTTATTGCTAAATAATCGAATAATTTTGTCACGCTGCAATGAAAGAATGGGATTGATTGAACTTCAATATCTGCATGTGTAAATAAAATTTGTACTAATATTGAATGTAAATCTAATTTAGCTTACACCCCCCCCCAACGGTTTAAAATGCTATCCAAGGTTATAACTGTTTTTTTTTTTAAGAAAATTTATAGAGTTAAGATAAAAACAATACTGAAAGATGGAGGAATTAATCAGAGTTGCCACTCCAATGGGAGAACAGAGAATGTTGAATTTTATTTCTTATATTTGTCTTTCAAAAAATGCAGGCTTCTCAAAGCGTAATGCATGGGATATTTAAGGACAGTTCATCTACTGTTTGTCTACGATAGGTACTCTG